CCAGTAAAGTGTTCACAGCTTTATCTTTTTCAGATCTGATTTACTTTGACCATGGATTACGTGCCATATGTTTGCAACACGTAAAGTATACTTTCCATCCATCCACTCTTGCACTCTGTTGCAGAAGCTATGGAGAGAGAGAGGGTGAGGGAGAGGGAGAGAGAGGGAGAGAGAGACACTCTACAGACAGCTAGAGTTTCCAGACCACCTGAGTTAGACTCTATAAAAGAGACTGAAATACTGGCTGTAAATTTCTTGCTATCCTTCCTAGAATTTTTACAGTAAAAAAGAATGTATCTCTCTTTTTTTCCTCTATAGAAACATCTATAAAATGAAGCCTCTTAGCCTAAAATAGTCCCTGGCAAAATGTGAATTAAACATGTATTTCTTCCATCAGATATTTATAGCTATTAAAAAAAATCACAAATGTCCAGCCTCTTGAGGTACAAAGATCATATCATGCCTCTTCCCACTTGACCCTGAAGAGTTTGTTATGAGCTGCGGAACACTATTAATCTAGGTCCACAACAAACCATTAATCCCAGCTAGGATGCTGACAGTCAGATTCTGTCCTGTCTTTCCTCTTGGCCTGTCCCGAGGGAAACTTCACTTCAGTTACCAAGTACTCCATCCGAGCAAGCTTTTGATGTCCTACTGAGCAGTAGACTAATAAAAGTCACTCAAGGCTTTCTCTTTTAAAGTAGGTTTTTTGAGTGATATTCAAAGCTTCGAGAAGAGAGAAACACTCAAATAGATAAACTGTGATTGAATTTCAGCTCCATCATTTCTGGGACTTTATATTTCTTAACATCTTCTAGATTTATATAATGAAAAAATGTTACTATTAGGGCTGGGGATGTAGCCCTGAATTACAATGCTTTTTAGCAGATAGAAGGCCCTGGGATCAAAGCCAAGCAATGGAAATATTACTATTAAATTCAATGATATAGGACTAATGATTTGATAATTATAAACAATCATATAATAATCCTAATTATTTTGATGAAATACAGTGTAAGTGTGAAAGATTATAACAGCTCACAGCAAGATATTAGAAGAGCAAAAAAACTTTCTGTGGGCTGGGGATTTAACTCAGTGGTTCTATGGCCTGTCTTGCAAGCGCAAGGTCCTGAGTTCAATCCGCAGTACAAACCCCCCCCCCAAAAAAAAACATTCTGTGAAGATAATTTTTTTCTATTAAGTGTGAGCTGTGATATCACAATCTTGGCTTTATGTTTTGGGCTTGGGAAATTAAGATGATTTTTTTTTCTTGGTAAAACTACAGATAGTATATGTGGGCCAAACATAATCAGATTTTAAATGTTAAGACCTCTATTTAATACATGAAAGAACATGTCAAGTAAGTAGGTCAGTATGAAAATCTGGTATTCAAGGGAAATTTTAAGAGTGGAAATATACATTTGTCAGGAGTGATACTTTGAGCTGTAAAAACCTTTGATCTTATTTTATATTTTTAATACAATGGATGGAATTAAACTTCTCTGAACTTTAGTGTCTAAAACACATTTTAAGAGAAGTGTCAGGTAATTGTAACTAACCGAAAAGGAAAGAAGACTTTGTGATTAGCAAAGGACCTTCCACAAATGCTTTTGTCTGGAAGAGACTCCTGAAACTTAAGGCTAAAATCTTTCCCTTCCTCATCTTCCCATTCGTGTTACTATTTCTCCTCTTCCCATTTCCCTTTTCTTCCTTTAGCCTTATATAGCAATGCTAAGCAGGTGGGAAATCCATCAAGCCACGAAGCTTGTTGATGCCTTCTGGTAAAGGAAGTTTCTGTCTCACCATCTGTAGGTCTTGCAGTTAGGGAGTCTTTCCAGTTAAGAGTGTGAGCTTCAGGTAAATATTCCTGACTTTCGCTATCACATATTGAGGGCATGATATGGAAGGAGACAGGCTCATCAAAGCCTGTCATGGTGACATGGTTTGGGTTCACTTGCCCCAATTCCGGGTCCAGTCCTCAGCCTATAGGAAAACTATTTTGATTACTCTGACTCTCAGAATGGGAATCTACTGTCTGGAGTCACAATATATGTTTAATGAGATCATGAGACCCATTAAAAATCCAAATCGGAAACACCAAAGTGCGTCTTTCATTCACTGATCCTTACCATTCTTTCCAGGGAGGAATGTCCTGAAAGAAACTTCTCAGTTCTTTCTATCACATGTGGTTGTGGGGTGTGGGTATTTTATGTTAAGAAAGAACTCTTCAAGTAGTCATACTTTCCAAGTTTCTTCCAGAACCTGCCTTGGATAAAACAAGGTCTATCTTAGAGTAAGGGGAGTGCTCTGTAAAATAGGAGAAGCTTAAAATTTGTTTCATGAATATTTTTTGGAAGAATCTAGTCCTGTGTTCTGAAAGAGAAAGGAAGACATTTAAAGACAGTGTACTCTTCTGATAGTTTCTCTTTTGAAATAATGTGAGTTAGATACTGTGCTGCTCATTGCATTGGCTATTTATGGAAATTCCCTCAAACATTTGCAGATGTTTAGGGCAGGTTTTCAGCTTCAGTAGATCCAGGAAACCATAAGCCCCAGCAGCCAGTAACCAACCTAGCTGAGACAGACCATGGGCAAAAGCAAACATTGGGGTCACTTGGTTAAACTCCGGAGGTGCAGATGTGAATCTCTGTTCTCTTCCCCATATGATTCACTTACATTAATCTCTTCAAGATGCCCGGAAGTCTGTGAAGCAGCTAGACCCTCAGCGAGATGATAGCTCTATGGTGGATGAGAGTGCTGCCCACCACTTGTTAGCTATGTAAATTTACGTATTTTAGGCCTTTCGGTGCTCAGCTCCCCATTTTGTAAAAGGAAAGTGGTAAAATTATTCGTTTTCATATTGTTAATGTTAGTTTTTAATCTTGTTTTATGTTTTTAAATCAATATAGAGAAGAGAAAAGAAGGAAAAAGAAAACAGATTATTGAGTACTTGTGTAAATATATGTGTTGCAATTACCCACAAGTGCATCATGGATATCTGTTCATGGGGAAGAAAGAAGAAAGAACTTACAATGAACTAAAGATCAGAAAGACTTCATTACAAAGTTACTTTCTGATCCTGGAGATCACATTATGACCCAGCGCACCTGCTAGGTGTGCCATTTCCTGCAGTCTGTGTACAAGGAGGATGAAGTGAGAGGTTCAGAGTAAGGGTGAGGGAAGAGAGATGATTGACAGAAACTAAGGTAGGAGAGTCCATGAATAGATCACAGGATGCATTTCTTTAAGAGCCTAATGCCAATTAGCAACCCCAAGTGTCTGAGAGAAGAACATTTGAGAGCACCACAACCCAACACCTTTTCATAGTTGTTTTTCTTGTTGTTTTTGCTACCACCAATGGACTGGACTAAAGTTTTTGCCATGTCACTTAAATTCTTTGAGACTCCGTTTCCTCACCAATTAAATGGAATTTGAAGATATACATTTACAATGTCCAAAATACATAACACATAAAAAGAAAAAATCCCAGACTCTGATGAGTGCAGAAGAAACATTTTTGTGTTCTTATTAATTCTACTTTAAGAGAAGAAACTGAGACTCAGAGAAGTGAAATTACACAAGGCTACCCCTTTAATTAGTAATAAAAGATAATCTAGGATCCAAATCTCTTACTAAGTCTAAATCTCTTTTATTTTAATAAGATACCTCTAGTAAAGTCCTATGACATTTATGCCTGGATAACAAAAATAACCAATGCATGTGTCCTGGGATAGAGAGTTCGTGGGGAGGAAGCTCATGAAAGCCAAGGAAGCAAGGTGGAAAGATGGTATTTTTAAAATCATAGGCCAGGTAGCATTTATTAAAAAGGAGCTGGCACACTCAACCATGAAATATGGCTTCAAGAAAGGAAGGAGAATGTTTCAAGCCAAGGGTGATATACAAAGGCTGTGTAGCTTGTTCCTTGAGGGGGAGGAGCCCAGTGCTACTGAGAAAGAGTATGGGAGGCTACGGAAACCCAACTTTGTACTCTTGGTTGTTACCATAAGTATCTTGCTTTTTCCTTCATTAGAACAGAGAACAATGCAACGATATGGAGGAAACTCCTAATTTAACCTGATTTATGATAATTCAATGATAATACAGAATAAATCCACTAAAATCCTCATCTTGCACTTTCAACTCAATACAGTATGTAATTATTTTTATGTTTTAGTTTACATTGACAAGAACAGTTATATATATATTACCATGTGAAAACTCATATGTGAAACTATTTTATTGTTTAACTTAGAAATCAGTATTACTGACCTCTTTCAGACATTCAGAGGCATCTTTTTAAATTTACACAGTTTCAAGTTGGCAATATGTTTCTGAAAATTCTTTCAGTAACTATAATGACTAACACAGGCCACTTAGTGTCAGTGAAACAGTTGTGTGGCCTAAAAGTAAATCACTGGAATAAATTCACTATTTGTAGGCCAAAGGAATGAGGGATATAAAGCAGTTAAATCAATAACTGTTGCTGGGAAATATTTGCAAAATTCTATTCATCAAATTAGGTGGAATGAAAAAGATTAGATAGATATTTTTTAGTATTTTTATTTTCCTTTATTGAATATTATATTTGATTTTCTCATTGAATATTATAACCAAAGTTAACAATGGGTTGTTGGGAGTTAAAATAACAAAAATGTATTTTAATTCGAGTGCTTTAAGGATCAGACATGAATCTGTATTGGTCCCACCACAAGCTGGTGAAAATAATGTTTTGTTTTATAGAATATCAAACTTGGATTCACAGATTCATAAAATGGTTGAACCAATGATATCAGACCCTCATTTCTTACTAATTCTTAGCGATCAATGAAACATAACAATAAATTGTCTGTGAGAAGGGAAAGAACAGTAAGAAATGACCTTTTATATGTGGTAGACAATGATGGTGAAGACAAGGGAGCAGGAACAGCTCCTTACTGTGCCCATGTCTTATTACACACCCTTCTGTCACAGTGACACACATTCTCTGCTTGATATTTTAGGGACTATTCCTCATCACGAATGGACTAGCCCAAAGGACATCATTTGGATGAAGAATTCAAATCACCCAGTATATTGAAAGGTAATTATCTTTTGAAAATTTTCTTTTCACCTTCAGTAACCTTGGCTTCTATTCTCTTTAGAGAGAAGAAGCCAGTTAATCGCATCTGCAAGTTCAGAATCGGCTTTTCTAGTACCGTACATGGTCTCTCACAGGGTCAGGAGGGCCTTCTTTCACAGTGTTTGCTGAGATGCTCATGGCTGCCCTTGGGGAATCTGACCTTTACCTGACCCATTGCTGAGAGCTAGACACCGCCAATGGACCCAAGGGGAACTCACCCGTAGGCACGACTGGAAAAATCAAATTCTTTTTAGGAAAAATCAATGAATCAATCCAAATTCTGTACAGATAGCAATGAACCCTGTACAGGGTGGCCTGCTGTGATACAGGACACTTCTTTCTGAGGCTCTGCAAATGCTCTGCTTGCTTCCTCTCTGTGGTCATGGCTGCTGTTTCATTAGTCCTTGAGATCAGTGCCCTAAACATATATATTTTTTCTTGAACTACTTTAAGTTTCTGTTTCTGATCTCTATACATTTTTCTTTTTGTTTTCTCCACTAGCATTTTTCAGGCATGGAGTGAATGGCAGTTTGATAGGTAATTCATCATTTCAAACTTTGTTTGTTTTGAACACTACATTCAAAGTAAGCATAAATTCAAATCATTTTGATAGACATATGAGGATACTGAGTTGCCAGTTCATAGTTGATCGGTAATCTGGGGTGAAAATATTATTTCTAGATGCCTTTGAAAATGCTTTTTCTACTGTATTACATTACCTCCAAGCATGTAAACATCGTCTACCCCATAAATATTTAAGACCATTTTGACATCTTTATTTTAAATTCTTTCTTTTAGAAGTTTAATATTTTATTTTTCATCAGAAACCACCATGAATCTCTTCCATAATTTTCTCATTGCATTCTTCATGTCCTTATTCTGGAATGCATAAATCATAGGATTGAGCAAGGGAGTTAATATGGTGCCAAATATGGCCACAATTTTATCAAAGAAGTAAGCAGATGGAGGTCGTGCATACATAAAAACACATGGAACAAAAAATAAAACCACCACAGCAATGTGGGACCCACAGGTGGAGAGAGTCTTCCTCAGCCCTCCAGAACTGTGCTTTCTCAGGGAGAACAAGATGACACCATAGGACACAAGCAACATAGAGAAGATGAGGATGCAGAAAGACCCACTGTTGGCAACCACCAAAAGATGCAAGATGTGTGTGTCAGTGCAGGCGAGCTTCAGTAATGGGTACAGGTCACACATGATGTGATCGATGATGTTGGAGCCACATAGTGGCAGGTGGAAAGTAAAGAAAATTTGAATCATAGAGTGTAGGAAGCCACCTGTCAAGGCTACGCCCATCAGAATGCCACAGAGCCTCCAGTTCATGATGGAGGAGTAGTGCAAGGGCTTGCAAATGGCCACGCAGCGGTCATAGGCCATGGCGGTGAGGACAATCACCTCTGCCCCTGCAAGGAAGTGTACACCAAAGACCTGCATCAGGCAGCCTTCATAGGAGATGGTTTTCCTCTCACAGACGGTGTCTGCAATTGTCTTCGGGGTGACAACTGAGGAGAAGCAGGCATCCAGAGATGACAGGAATACCAAGAAGAAGTACATGGGGGAGCCCAGCAGAGCAGGGCTGCAGACAATGGTCACCACAATCAGCATGTTGCCCCCCATAGTTGCAATGTAGATCAACAAAAACACCACAAATGCTATTTTCTGAACTCTTGGATTCTGTGAGAGCCCCAGGAGCACGAACTCAGTCACAACGCTTTGGTTTTGCATGACTTCCTAGGAAAAGGGTAGAGGCACAACAGGGAAAGAACATGTGGAATCTGCAATCAAAAGAAAGACAACTCTGTTTCAGATCATTTTATGGTACTACCATTATCAACACTTTGGGGCATGCTTGTACCGTTATCATATAACCAAGTACCCAAAATTGGAAATATGTTAAGGATAGTAGAGGGTGATCAGAAAGAGTTGACATGGAATAAAGTATTAAACATTTTAAATAGTTTAGTTTCAATGTAGATAATAGGCATCTCTGCTTGTGGTAAGGATGAGAATTAATTTTCCTCTCAAGTCCTAGCTTTCGATGATGAGTAGTGGCTTCTTGGATTGAGTTCATGAAAAGTGTCTTGAACCCTTTACAAGTTCTATTAATTTCACAATGCGGCCTCTTCTTAGCCTGGGATGGGATAACTTGAACACCAATCCTGATCAAGAGACAGTCTTATCTACAAAGGGAGGACATAGCCTGCAGTCCCAATACTCTTGCAAGTCATAGCTACTCCTAAAATATCTCTTTAAAACTCTGAACTGAATTAGATCTTTACCTAAATTATCTTGGTCCTTAAAAAGGAGAAAGATCCACACAAAAGTGTGTAGCTCTGTACCTAACAAATTAGGAGGAGAGACTAAATTTGGACAGTTTTCAAATTATTCATCATTCCAAAAGTTTATAAAATAATACCTATTTCAGAATGTTGTCATGATGACAAAAAGAAATGATTATTCAGAATCTAACTCCTAGGAAGCAACCTGTTCTAGGTCTTATTATAGCTGTTGGTGGTGGAAAAATCATGCTTAAAGGCATTAAATTCAAGCAAACCAGAGGTGCTGGGCATAGGATTTTAAACGTGGAACCTCTGTTCCCTAACCAATACCTGTACATAAGAGCAACAGCAAAAAATGGGGATATTTCTTTTCCAGTGAGGACTTAGTGAGGGGTGGATTTTCTACAGTCTCCGTTCATCTGTAAACATTCAAGCTCCTGATTCTTTGCACATAGTTGAAGAGGTATTTTGCTAAAAGAAGCAGAGAAAATGGTGTAGAATCAGAAGGTGAATATGTTTCATCTAGATAATGACTTCAAATTTTGATTTAAATTTTATAAAAAATTGAAAATTGAAGAATGTGTTCTCAGCCACACATGTAACCAGCGCCTAATAATATTTTGTTAGGTTGTGTGTGTGTGTGTACACATATGTACAGTATAATGCCTTAACTTACATTTGTGTTTATTAAGTACAGTAATAAAAGAATAAGGGGCTTATTGTGAGAGGTAAAATAACCTGATCTTATAAATGGCATTTTCAGTTTATAGAAATCATTTTAAATGTCAATGGTATTCAAAAAGAAATTATTGTGTATGTCAATATCTCTCCTTTTTTTTTAAACTTTAAAGCAGCTATTTCCATGATTTTTTCAATGTTTTACACTTTCTGAAATGACTCTTGTATTCTGAACTCAACATTCAAAGAAAAGTTCTAATCAAGAAACAAGTTTATAAAACAAACCATGAAAGGTCATTGAATCAGACATGAATATGTAATCCAGCAACAGTCGGGTTAGTTCAGGACGAGAGCAAGGAAGACAAAGAAGTGAAATGTGTCAGAATATAGGCCCTAAACCGATGCAGACCTGGGTTCAAGACTAGGCTCTGCTAATTTATGCTGATATTGAACAGATTACTAAAATTCTCAAAGCCTGAATTTCACTTTTGTTAGTGAGTATAGTACAATGGTCTATCTGTAGATTTTTTAGAGGATCAGGCAAGAAATAGATATAAAAACACGCCATCATAAATCTAGATGTTTTTGAATAAGAACAAATATTCAGAGTCACTGTTGTGCAGCAGAAATGGCACTATTGTTAATTTTAATTCCTGCTTTACCATGGCTTAGATCAATAAATGCTTTTATTTTTCAGCTAATATAAAATATTTTGTTTTTTCACAGTAAATGTAATTATTTTTAAATGCAAAGTACTTCTAAATGTTCTTAATAATATTTTAATAAATTTTTGTGGTCCTCATGCCAATTACATTTATATAGTACTATTTAAAATGGTTTTTCTGGGAAAAAATTTAGGCTGATAGATGGATTGATTGATTTTGACTTTGGAGAGAGAGACCAAGACAATCTGTGAATGTAAGTTAAATTATCCTTAATATCCTCACTTTCTTTATCTGGCAAATTTTAAGAGTAATATAGTTTTAACATTAAAATGTTTACCAGCTGCATGCAAAACAACAGTTTTGTCAGATATAAAGAATTCCCAAAATTAATGTGAAAACTTTCATCATGGAGAAAACAGTGTTCTTATGCTTACTGATGACCAATTTAAGATTTTAGCCTTTAAATTTTATTATTCTAAATGCCATGCATTCTTCTGGATTGAACACCAGAATGCACTGGAAGGACTATGGTGTATATACTGGTAAAATAAAATATGAACAAAATCTAGTTTTTACTGTTTATCACTGCTAATTTCATAAATCCAACAATTGTAACTGTGATAATATTACATGGTAATATTAGGAATAAACAAATGAAGAGTGTAGAGGAACTCTTTATATTATCTTGGCAACATTTGTAATCATTTCGCTTCTCCAAATAGTCTACCCTCCTGTTACGACTGGCCTGACATATGAACAACTTGGGTTACAATTGGAATTTTTGCTTTAACTTACTATCAAAGTCTTGGGTTATGACCTGAATGAAGGCCAGCTGTGCTTCCAGATGGTCCCAGATACAGATTTAACCCCTAAACAGTTTGAACAAGTGCTATCATGTCTACTTTCACAGAGAGCAAAATAAAACATTTTGGTTTGTTGAATGACACAAGTGAAGCCTTTTTTATAACAAACTATGAACATTTTCTGTGCTTAACTTTTACTATATATACATATATATAAATAAAACATTCAAAACTAAAACAAGAATAGTAATAAGGTTGTCAAATGGTATTTTATAACTATATTTCAAAAAAGTTAATTTTTAAATTTTAGGTGCATTTATATGTACATATATGAGACTATCCATCATATTTGCATATATGTTTTCTAAATAAGTATAGTATATAAACTAAGAAGTAGACATTAAAACATTCTTCTTAATTTCCCTACCTCGTCTACTTTTAAATCCAGAGTACTTTGAATTTGAAATTATTTGCTTCAAAAACAAAATGTTTATTTCTTGCCTATCTAGCTAAGCGTATTCCTCTCCTTGATGACCTGGGAATAGGTTTTCTTCAGACTTCAGGTCTTTTACTTTCCTTTTGATGTTCCTCTGCTGATTGTCTTACATATCTCAACTTTTACTATCTCAAAATTTTAAAGAACTATTTAGAAGTTATCCTTTCTCTTTTGAACTTTGTCCTTTTGATGGACATATGAATCTTGTATTTTCTTCCATTTTAATGATTTAATTCATTTTAAGAGAAAGACAAGTCCTGAAAACAAGCAGTAAAGTAATTTAGAGCATCAGTCATTTTTTACTTTTTTTAACAGTTCTGAAGGAGGAAACTAATATTAATGATGACACCAAATGAATACAGTTAAAATCAGAAGACAACTCTGTGACCTGAGTCACAATTTCTTACCTTTAATTGTCCTTCCTGTGTCATCTGCTAGTGTGTGATTGTGAAAATTGTATGTTTTTTATTCTACCAGTAACTGAAAATGTCCCTGCAGCAGTTGAATTTCTTATGGTCTCATGTCAGCATTCTAGATACACCTTCAGAATGTCCTGCTTATCATCTAAAACAATAGGGTAGAGATTGTTGGAAGAAGCATTGGTAAACATATATATTTTAGAATGAATAAACAAAATGCTACTCAAGAACTAGTCCAATAGTATGCATTAGTTCTAACTCCGTTTGCATGTAACTTGAACATGCAGTGTTGATCATAGTTATAACTTATTTAGAATGGAAGTAACAGATGTTCCTAACTAAAAAAAATTGTCTTCTTCTATGGCAGCTGCTTTTGAGCACTTATCTTTCAAATGATGCTTTACAGATTGCAATCCAAAACTTTCTGGTACAAAAAAAATTGCAATCAAATGATGCATTATGGGTGCCATATGTATTTTTAAATTTATTTCCACATATGTAGAGCTTGGTAATATTTAATTCCTCTTCAAAATGAGGAGTCTGAGAGCCAGAAAGCTCTTGAAATTAGCCCTTGTGTACACAGTTATTATTTTGATGCCTAAGCATTGCATTAAAGCTGGTGGCTTGACCATAATAACAACATTTTGAAGGATTACATCACGATCTGATATTCTCTTTGAAAATGCAAAAATGTAAATTATAGCTCTCACCATGTATCAATTCTTAAAGTAGTCCAGTGGTAGTAACCTCGGGTACTCTATGGAGAAAAATCCATTCAGTGTCCCAAATATGACGCTTGCATCCAAATTTTCTTTTTTTACCAGAGAGAGAGAGAGAGCGAGAGAGAGAGAGAGAGAGAAAGAGAGAGGGAGGAAGAATGTTCCTCTCTCTGCTGCTCATGTGCTGCCTTTAACATGGATTCAGGACAAAAGAAAAGCAAAAAGACCTCTTGCTTTCCAACTAGAATATAAAGAAGTTTCCATGAGAGGTCATGAACCCATAGAATTGTTTGCTCCCCTAGGGCTTGGAAATTTTCAGTCCCTGTGATTTATCAAGAGGGATTTGCCAGGCTTGACTGTCTCCAGTGTTGGGATAACTTTTCACATCTGTGGGCAATTTGGATGCTCTCTTCATTGGTATGTTTGTTGTTTACCTTGTACTTTTCAGTTTGTGCTGGGAATAAAGATGCATTCATTTCCTGTCATGCTCAGGGATACAGCACGACATACACAGGAGATGCACTCTGTATGCAGACAGAATGCAGTGTCTCTCTGTAGAATGGGGGTAAATGGCTATGCACTTACTAAATGTAAAAGCGGATTCAAGGGATAAAGCAGCACTAACCCTTATGAGCAACACAAATTGCTTCAGAACTAGATTAGCAGTGAATGCTAAAATTACATATCCCATGTATAAATACGCACATATTGGTAGATTAAATCCGAATGTTATTTTTTCCTCTTGGCTCCTGATTGTGATATTCTATGATTTTAAAACTAAAATCATGACTGTAGAGACCAACTGAAATTTTCTCTTCATTCTCTGTGAAAATGGAGCTTCACAGGTCTGTTTCCTGTATTCGAACATAGAATTGAGACTGAAACTTGAGGTGGATCTTAGACTTAGCTCATAGGATCCTTTCAGAGAAGATGTTTTAGGTTTTTACAATTTTTAAATATTCTGCACTTCCTATTTTATATCTTTTCATGTAAGCCTTCAGGGACCATTTCTTCTGTCATCTATGGCATCAGGTAATAATGTTATTCCTTTTAATTAAACATTAATGATATTTAATTAAGTCAACTGACATGCATCATACACCATGCGTGGAGGTGCTAATTTGAAAGTGTGGCTCATCAGCACAATGCCAGCATCTCCTTCTGGAATTCTGGTTCTCTTCTCTAAGGGAGAAGGGAAGGTTGGAGGGCATGAAGGGAGGGCTAGGAATGGGGAAAAAATAAGAACCAAGATGTATTATGTAAAGGTACAATTCCCAATGAGAAATGTAATTGTGTTGTATACCTACAATGTACCAATAAAAGAATTTAAATAAATAAATAAATAAATAAATGTTTATAGTAAACTACTTTACTGTATTACAGCTATCTTCCTGCGATTAATTTATGGGTAATAAACTAGCCTTTCCTCCTGCCTATCTCTTTCTTCCATTTTCTTCTTTTTACCTCTGCTTTGGTTTTCCCACTTCCTAATTTAATATATTGTTACCATGCATTTCACATCTACATATGTTAAAGATATGAAATACACTACTGGTGTTATTTTGTAATGAAATCTGATCTTGATCGAATTGCTTAATTTCTTGACATTTTCTTTTGTCTGATCCTGAATAATGGAGGAAATAATTCCATCCAATGATGTTTTAAATATTTAAATCAGAAAATGCCCTTAAAATGTCTACAATCACTGATGTATTGCAAAAAAAATTTAATGAGTATAAAAACTTTGAATATATCTTAGTGAACTCATGATTTAGATGAGGCACTATGAAATAGTGATGTTTGTAGTAAATTCCTATGTGATTACTTGTAGTCAGCCTTTTAGCACTGTAATAAAATATCACACACAGGGTACTCATGGACACTTTGCAAGCTGAATATGCAAACAGGAAGAGCAGCTCAGCAGGTCTTCTCTGGACTGTGTCACCTCCTGGTATGGAGATCAGTGGCGAGACTGCAGGGGGAAAAGTGAGGGCATCACAAACCAGGAGCAGAGTGGGGGAGAAGACACAGGACAGGCTCACTCCTTGCATAACAACCCCTCACTAGATCTTGAGGGGTCACATGAGACCCACCTTCCAAGAACACACTCTCATGTCTGGAGTCCCTCTCTTAAACTTCCACCAGATCACAGTTACACTACTTGGGACAAAGACTCCAGTGTATCAGCATCTGTAGAGATAAACTATATCCACACCACGGCAACCTGGTATGGTACACAGGCATTCCATGCTATAGAGAGGCAGTCAGCTGCAGGTCAGTGAATAGGATACACCTGCACAATACACACATATGATACATTTTTCATTCTTGGCTTCTCTACTAATTTTCAGCAACAAACTTGGGTCCTGTACCAATCTGTGAATAGGATGTGGGATATTTGTTCTAACTTTAATTCATTCTGGTTATTATCTGTTTTCCTTTATACTTCACATTTCAAACCATCCAGTGTAAAAGTAACAGTGCATTACTGTTATGTGGTTGCTAGCCCAGGAAAACAGTGGGTTAGCAGATTGTTGATTTATTAACTGGCTTTCTTGAATATGTGTTTATTTTGATAATGGCTTTTGTTGGGACTCTGGATCTCTCTCTCTCTCTCTCTCTCTCTCTCTCTCTCTCTCTCTCTCATCTCTGTCTCTCTCTGTGTCTCTGTCTCTTTCTCCTCCTTTTTTCTTTTATTATTTGCAGAAATAAAGACTTCCATAGAAGGAAAGCAAAATGCTCCTGTACATCTTTGCAAGTGTTTCTCCTGCTCTTCAGAAGAGAACTGTGACTAAATTAGCCAGATTTCCTGAGCTCCTCTCAGGAGCTCAGTGACTGATTCTAAAAATGGACTTTAGGTTTAGACTCAGGAAACTCCCAGGAGCACGGAGCAATAGAACCTTAGACAATTGAGTAATGTTATTTTAAGGAGAACTTTTAAGAAATACTTCTGGGAAAATAATTTCTCTTTACTTTCAAAATAAATAACAGTTATGATCCCTTCTCGGGATATATGTAGCTCTTTCAGCGCAATATTTTTTAGATGTAATAGAAAAGTGGTAAGTCCTAGAGCAAATATATGCATGCTCTTTTAACATGTTCTTGTTTGCATTCAAATATGAGCAGGTGTCAGGCAGTTGTTTTAGCAATTGAAATCCTAGGTCATTTTCTTATGGAATGAAAAAAATAATTTATTCCATAATACAGGACAGTTTACAGAGGTATTTTAATTTCACACTCCTTGGGAAATTGTGGAATTATCTTCTTGGAAATGAAAAGAACACAATCATGAAGACATTTTCTGAGAAATGACATACATTTCTGATTCATTAATTTATACATAGCTTGTATTGCAGGTGTAAATACTAGGAAAAATTCGACAACTATATAACTGAGGATGCTGAATGAGCAAGCAAGACATTTTCCTGAGTAACATAAAACTGACTGAAAGACCACCCATAATTGATGTGCAGGTAATTATTCCCATAAGCCTTGTTTAAGGATCTTTCGATCTACTTGGTGCTTATTCTGTTATTTAGTGCTGTGCATTCAGATATGGCCCATTAAAATTTGAACAAGAGTAAAAACATTTTTAGCAATGTTCAGTTTCATTGCATAGTGCAAGCAGCATTTAAATTTTGTATAACACATTTAAAAATAACAATGTTCAGATTGTTAATAATACTGCAGATTCAACCTTTGGAAAAATTCTCACCTTTCAAATGTCCTTATCCTAAAATTGTCTAGATTTACTGAAGTCAGGAAAAGTAAGTTTTGGTAGTAGCACATGCTGCTGTCATCAATAGAAAAATATAGACCTATTATGAAACTACTTAACCTACAGGAGAAACATTTGCTGAAAATATTTTGTAAGGAGTGATTGGAACTGTTCGGCGATACCACCAAAGATGAAAACTGATTTTTTGATTTAGTTTTGAGAGCACAAAAAGTTACTTATTTAAAATTAAAAGTTTTCACAGGATTGATTTTTCTCTTTCCCTCTTCCTCCCTCCCTCTCTCTCTCTCTCTTTTCTTTAGTTTCCTGCTTTTCTTCCTTCCTTCCTTCACTCCTTCTTCTCACCACTGAAACATTGTTTACATCCAGCTTGTTGAGATTTCCCTTCTAAAATCTAGGTTAGTGCTTGTTTTTCTTTATCACAAAATATTTCATTGGAGGCGTCTGCTTGTTTGAGACAATTTTAAAAATTATCAATTCACTTATTAAAAGAAAATGATAAGGAAAAGATGAATAATTCTTAGTTATGTGCCTTTGTTCTCCCAAGAGATTACATATAGTAATCTCAGGCTCAATTCACTATTTCCATGAATGGTTTATTTCAGTTTAATTAATGTTTAAATTCAAATCAAGAAAAGTTAAACTGTCCTGTGTGAACGAAACAGATTTATGAATGAAGAAATTTACAATAATTCAACTTATGTTTTCTAAAATTTATCATAAATGATAACAGAAAGTGAAAATGTGAAACAATTCTTGGGAATAAATATATAAAATAATTGTTGGGGGTAAGCTGTACAGACTGTCTGAATCCATGCTGGATGATTATCATCTCTTGCTTATTTGGAAAGGCTGTATAGCCTTGAAATCAACTGCTTTATAAAATTTACATCAAAGATTGAAACAGACACATGTAGCCACATTTCAATATATATATTTCACCTGAAGGCAAATGCATGGATTTGGAGCCATCTAGATGACTGATATTCTTTCTGTATCATCACAAATTTGCTGATACCTAGATGGTGCTGCATAAAAATCGCTGTTTATTAGATTTTATTGTTTTATTTTAAAATTTTCTTCATTGATTTAATAACACACACTTCTACTTAACAATGTATTCTTTCCCCCTCCGCATGCATAATGACATAAAAGTTTCAAAAATATTCCTTCATTTCCTGATTACAATTCCTATAACTTAAAGTCGTTCATAGTGCTATACTAGTAACACCTCCAGGTGAGAATGTTACTTCCTTAAGTATGCAGGTTTGAATATTAACAGTTACACTGCTCTAATTCAAAGCCTGACATTGTGTAAAGCTTTCAAACAGAGCAGTGCTACTCCACACATTTATTCTTAGAACTGTGGTTGCCGATTTGACAGTGATCTCAGAGTCTGTCATCTTTCATGATATAAGAATTACAGTGGTTTAGGGCTGGGGTTTTAGCTCAGTGGTGCCACCGCCTACCTCACAAGCGCAAGGTCCCGAGTTCGATCCCAGTTACCTAAAAAAAAAAAAAAAGGAATTACAGTGGTTTCTTCTACTGCTATGCATCTGAAACATCTCCCAACATTTATGGCAGGCAACTGAACTGAAGAATTAGTTCTACATTTTAAACTCTATACTTCATTAAACCTCTGATCTCAGAAATTCACTCAGTTTTAATCAGTTCCTTCTATACAGGAAATAATATGTTCAGGTCAGATGTATATTTTAATTCTTAAGTCATTCTAATGACTAGATTTCTTTATTATTTAAAATATTTAAAATTCATTTTATGTGCATTTACATAAAGGAATGCAAAATATCACTTTCTTAAATGAGGGATCACTTGTAATGATAATTATGCCCATACATTTTAATAAAGTAGCAAAGCTTATTAAGTTTGAAGGAGTTTCTATAACTTATACACAGTTTTGAAGATAAGACCTACTGTTTTCAAACTACAGAGACTAGAAAGTTGGAGGGAGACACTGACAGAAAATAATCAAATTGAGACTGTCCCTTCTTGGAAAATGCTAACTTAGAGCATAAAAATATGCTCTAAGCATATTTTTGCAGTGAAAGTTCCCTAATATTAATAAATAGGATTTAAGGGGCCATATAGGGTTGCCACATATAATCTGAGAGTAAAGTAGACAGTCTGTCTGAATGCTGTTTAATTTCTCACCACTGGGGAGAATAGTACTCAGAAGTGCATCCTCTCTGTAGCATACCCTTCCACTGTCTTCAAGTGAATTCTACCGTGATCTTATAAAGAAGTATTTGTGCAAAGCCATTAATAATTATAGTTACATTGGATATCTTTCATTCACTTTTAATACCCATAATTTGTTTTAGCAGAACATATTAATTATGTAGATTTAAAATTACCTGTCAATTTCAATTGTTTTTTTCTGTATGTCTCTATAATGTTAATACTACTGATTCTAGAGTTTGCCTGAAGATATCTTTTTCACACTAAAATTTAAATAAATAGATACAAATTGTTTTGTTATTTTTCAAGAGGTGTTGACAAAAACACTTCAACTCTTTTACTCTGTATTCAGTTTTCTTTTTGTCTTGTAACATAGATGTCAAAATTGTGTTCCTTATTTTAACAAGAAGGATAAACTTACCCAGGTTCTTACCCCTATGTTTTGAGCTGTATTAACCACCCATCACACAGCTAACAATTTAGGGAATTTAAAAACTTCAAATACATTCATTGAGCAGATATCTGAAAGCAGTTCTGGGACCTGCTCTGTCTCTTGCTGGGAGAAGGGCCCGTTACCTAAACTGAAAACACTGAATGAAGAATGAAACTAAAAATTACAAATTAGATAAATGTCCTGCATTATATTAAGAAATTTTTCTTATATCTGAATGTTATAAATAGCAACATCAGAACTTCTTTTATTTTGAAATTGCAATTTTTAATCATTATATTTTCACAGTTTAATAAATTATATTCTAGTATTACCAATATGATAGACGGCTTGGAACATCTTTTCAAAAACAACTGCTGGGGAAATCAGAACAAAAACAAATATTATTAATATATTTTTTATGTATTAGCTTCCATGAATTGTTTGAATAGCTTTTGTGACTTTCTGGTAGTCTTTATACGATTGTGATCCTGTTACAAATATTTTTATCTAAATTCATTTTTCCTCAGATAATTATTTGTGCATTGTGTATCATATATGGAAAGTCAGAGAAACATATCAGAATTCATTCTCCTGGGTCTTTCTTCTGACCAGAACATACAGATATTTTGCTTCATCTTCTTCCTGTTTTGTTACCTTGCCATCTTGATGGGAAACCTTCTGATCCTTATCTCCATCCGATGCAGTTCTCTGTATAACCAACCAATGTACTATTTTCTTAATCAGCTATCTTCTGTAGACATCTGGTATACCTCCTGTGTGACACCCAAGTTGATTGGCGATCTCCTGGTGGAAAGAAAGTCCATCTCCTACAGGAACTGCATATTACAGATCTTGGCCATGCACTTCTTTGGAATGATTGAAATCTTCATCCTCACAGTTATGGCCTTTGACCGCTGTGTAGCAATCTGCAAACCTCTCCACTACATGATTATCATGAGCAGAACTAGATGCAGCCTCCTGATCATGGCTGCTTGGGCTAGTGGGGCTGCTCATTCCTTTTCCCAGTTTTCTATGATAACTGGGCTGCCCTTCTGTGGTCCCAATGAAATTGACAACTACTACTGTGATATTTTTCCTTTGCTGAAAGTTGCCTGTACTGATACCTATGTCACTGGTGTACTTGTGGTTGCCAATTCTGGAATGGTTGCCTTAGTAACCTTTGTTCTCCTGTTTGGGTCTTATATCATTATACTGTTCACATTAAGAAATCACTCAGCTGAGGGAAGACGCAAAGCACTGTCTACCTGTGGGTCTCACATCACTGTTGTTATCTTATTTTTTGGACCTTCCATCTTTTCTTATCTGAGACCCCCTACCACTTTCCCTGAAGACAAAATCTTTGCTCTATTTTACACCATTATTGTACCCATGTTCAATCCCCTAATCTACACCCTGAGAAATTCAGACATGAAAAAGGCTCTGAGAAAAGTTTGGTGTCAGAAGATATTTTTAGAAGAAAAACATAATTGATTTGTTCTACTTATGATAAATAATTTTATGCAGCAGTAAAAATTTGTCAGCACCAAGGAACATTATTAATTTTTAAAATTTTAATTTTATTAGTACATGTTTGCAGTATATGACATTTACATTCATCTTGGGAAGTAGGTACATGTACCTAACAGAGCTCATTTCTTTTTAAAATCCACTTCCTACACACCTCACTACTCTCTGTTCTGCTTTCCTCATCTCCATTCCTTTTCTTATTATTCTCAGTTCATGGTAGTGACATAAATGCTTACTTTTATTGTGGGTAATTGTTATCAGTATATGGCACATCTTATTCAAATCATGAAATGCAAATCATTCATTTATAAATATCAAAGATCAGGAACTGGAAAATTACCAGTAAAATGAAAGTTTCACTAGTAAGACTGAGAAGGAGTGGAGAAGCAAATCTATACTAAAAATATTGTAGGCTAAGGAATGATACCTTTGTTATGTAGAATAATCAATTCTGATGCTGTTGCAGAGTTTTAACAAGTATTTTTTTGAAATTTACATAGGAGACCAAGCAACTGTTTTATTAGTCTTTAGAAATAATATAAACAGGTCATTTAAAAAATTAAAAATTAATTTATTTTCTCAAGGAGGCTTATTTTAGTTATTATATGAGATATTCAGCTAAAATTATGACATTCTACAATTAATTAGATAATGACAATGTTCACACAGATAATTTTGTTTAAAATGTACAAAGAAGTGGTACTGTGCCACGCAGGTGAAGCAGCCCCCTATCTCTTTGAGAGGTTCCCAAATTATGCCAGATGTATAGACATGAGAAATTAATTCAGTCACAATTCTTGTGGAAGAAGTAGTACCAAGAAAAATACTTTAAAAATATAAATTTTCCTGGAGCACATAATTTGTATGTACTATTATTTGCTTTATGTTTGGAAAAAATCAGAACAAGAACACAGGAATAGATAGACATTAAAAATCATATCAATATGTGCATGGAGAAAATATATTATTTGTAGATACTGTGAAGAATAGATTTCCAAGACAGATTTTTCCAAAGCAACCATTGTACGTGAAAAGGGTTCTTTTATATCAAATAAATGGTATTTCTATGTAAACAAAGAGAAGGCAGATAAAAACATTAAAAAGCACTATTGAAAAACATTTTAAAATTTAAAATGCAATAAAATCTTAAAAGATACTTTCATCAGTAAGACAACATGAAAGGTAAGGAAGAAGATAAAATGTTGACATGGCATGTAAATTATATAAATTTATATTGGAGAGAAATTGTATACCTTGTTGTTTTGACAAGTTACTAAATAAATGGTATTATACTGGATTGTATCATATCTCTAATACCTTCTTGATATTAGAAGAATTGTTGCACTGTAACAATGCCTACAGGTTTTGGGATAAATAGGCTGAGAATTTTAAATATTACTCCTTTTTCTATTGTCTTCTATGAATTTCAAAGAGAAAATGACACCTTCATATTTGTTTGACTTCATAGTACACACTATCAATATGCTCTTTTTGATGAAATATTCTAAAAATGTTTCCTCTGAAAAAAAATTTGAAACATCATAAATTATGAGCCAATATAAAATTTTAAGAGTGCAGTCAGATGTATTTGACAGATGTATTTTTTATCTATCATGAAAAGCCACATCTAAAAGCACTACAGTAGAGGAATTAACCATTGGTTAAACCTTGATTTGGATGTCAGACAGCCAATCAATGCATTTTTTATTGAAACATTTTTTCCTTTTAACAAATTCATTGTATGGAAGTTTTCTAATTCCATGCCAAACAATACTAAGGTTTATTAGGTCCCCCCCCCCGCCCTGAATTCTACCTAACTAGAAGCCACTGTGTTTCTCTCAGAAAATGAAACATATATACTTTTTGAAGAAACTGAAACCCATTGTCTACAAGCCAGAACTAGCTTTCTCTTCTCAGTTTGCTGGAATGAGAGAAAAAATATGACCTTCAAAAAATTTCATCAAATTTATTTTCTTTGCAAAAATTTTTTGTACAAAAAAAGTGTAAAGTTCAGGGTAATTAAATCTGGGCCCAGAGGACGGATGATGACTAAGGTTCCTAAACTGGCACAGCTGACTATAGCCTTCATACCATTTATATTCTGGATCCTAGTCTGGCTTTGGCGAGTCTCCGAATCAGAGGAAAGGAGAGGTGAGCGGTCCGTTCTGAAGGTAAATCCAAACAGCACAGAAAGAATGGTCCTTGCTCCAGAATACACATAAACCTATGCATGATGAACTTTTAGATCATTCACATTATTTACTAAACTTGTGAGTTTAGCCCTCTCTAAAAATAACTTGAGTGATACAAGTACAGGCTGTGGTTTGCCTCACTTGAATATTTAAATTATCCCATTGCTTTCAGACTGTTGGTTTGAGTATTTTACTTTTCACTGTGTGAACGCTGGCTGCATGACAGGTGTGAGTTATCTCTAAAGACAAAACATTTTACTTTGTTTTTTAGTAGCTAGAGGTCTACGCAGAATGCAGTAGAAATCCAGAGGCACAGTAATCTGAACAGTAGAAGGATTATCAGAATTCCAGTGCGGTCAGGAGAACATAGTATCAGGGAAGTTAAAGGAAAAGATTCACAACGATTGGACTTGAGAAGATTCGAGATGAATTATTTCTTCCTTCACATTACCGTTCTGCATGTGTGATAGCTGTTTTTGGTTCCATTGTTTAGAAAATGCATGGCTGGCAGGTAACTTTAATGCAGGCATCTCTTCGAATTCGACAGACTAAATTCTTTTAAGATTAGAGTGGCAGTAAATTCAAGGAGTTGCCCATTGTGAGCACGATGTGACGTTTCAGTGACATGTGTATAGGGGCTTGATGTTCACTTGGGTGGCGAATTTCAAATCAGAAAAAAACTTTTCGTAGAAAGTCAGCAAGGCATTCATCAAGAAACAATCAAACAGTAAAGAAACACAAATCGCCAGAACAAGATGCTTGAAAGAGGCAGCACTGTGATGATTGATCCTGAGTCATCAGAGAAATGAAAAACAAAAATAAGATGAACCAGAGACCCTAGCTGTGTCACTAAATAAAAACAGGAAGTATATTAAAACTTGAGTATGAGTTTATTTTATCTCTATTTATTTTGCTGCTTATCCCTGTTGGTTGCAGTAATTGTTATGATACTGATTTCCACTATTGAATAATTTATTTCTGCATTTATTTTAAATCTTTAAAGTTTTCTTCTCTCAATTATCAAGAAATATTTAACATTTTTTAAGGGAATAGTAGCTTGGTATTTGAGAAGCAATAAAAACAAATACATTCAATATAATTATTTATTGAGCCCCTGTGATGTGGTGAATATTATTTATCTAAAAGGGAGTTAATTCTCTCATCAGAACTAGAAAGAGTTGTACTCATTAACAATGTAGTTATCAACATTTCTGTGACTTGTGCTGGGGATTTAGCTCAGTGGCACCACGCTTGCCTCATATCTTGTCCATTAAAGTTAGTTTCATAATATAAGTTCCATTGTCCACATTCTTCATAAAAATCATGGTTTTAACTTAAGCTTTTGTCTTTTCAGGTGGCTGTTAATGTATTTTTGCTGCACCAGGCCATGGGAAATAAAAATAATGCCACTGTGTTTATTCTCCTGGGACTTTCTCAAAATAAGGAGATTGAAGCCCTCTGCTTTGTACTATTTTTGTTTTGTTACATTGCTCTCTGGATGCAAAATATGCTCATAATAATTTCTATCACATGCACACAGCTAATTGACCAACCCATGTATTTCTTCCTCAATTATCTCTCACTCTCTGACCTTTGCTATACATCCACGGTGACACCCAAGCTAATGAGTGACTTACTGGCAGAAAGGAAAATTATTTCCTACAGTAACTGCATGCTACAGCTCTTCATCATTCACTTCCTTGGAGGCATCGAGATCTTCATCCTCATGGGGATGGCCTATGACCGCTATGTGGCCATCTGCAGGCCACTGCACTACACTGTAATCATGAGCAGGCACAGGTGTAACCGGATCATCATAGCCTGTTGTTCTGGGGGATTTCTGCACTCTGCCAGTCAGTCCCTCCTCACCATCTTCCTACCATTCTGTGGGCCCAATGAGATAGACCACTACTTCTGTGATGTGTACCCTTTGCTGAAATTGGCCTGCAAGGACACACGCAATGTTGGTCTCCTGGTGGTTGTTAATTCAGGCCTGATTGCATTGATGACATTCATGATTTTGATGGTGTCTTACGTCCTGATATTGTGCACCATTAGGGTGTACCCAGCTGAGAGCCGTTCCAAGGCGCTCTCAACTTGTGGCTGTCACATCACGGTGGTAGTGCTGTTCTTCGTGCCTGTGCTCTTCATTTACATTAGACCAAACAGAACATTTCCTGCAGACAAAGTGTTTGCTCTTTTCTATACCATCATTGCTCCCATGTTCAACCCTCTGATCTACACATTAAGAAATGTGGAAATGAAGGATGCCATCAGAAAAATATATGGTCACCAAAATTGTTTGGGAAGGAAGGAAGTACTGTGTAAGCCAATTTAGAATTTTATTTTATGGCTCAATACTAGGTCTAAGAATTAAAATGGAATGATATGAAAACAAGATTACAGATAGGTAGGATGAAAAACTTACAATGTTCTGTTGCACAGTGGATGACTGCAGTTAATTTACTGCATAGTTAAAAAGAGCTAGAAGAGAGGATTTTGAATGTTCCTATCACAAAGAAAGGATAAAAGTTTGAGGTGATGGTTATGATAATTATTCTGATTCCATCATTACACATTGTACATGTGTAATTTAGTCTCACACTCTGTGCATAAATATATACAATTAGCAAACATCAATTTGTTTAAAGCATATACTGCACATGCCAGAGCCAGCCACCCTCCAAAGTTGAGTCTTTCTAGCATTTGCTCACACCTCTCCTAAGTGGGTGTTAGCTTTTATTTTCATGTTTGTCCTTTCTGGATTTTCACATGCTTGCTCACATTCTCCTTAATTCTTTATTTTGAATGTTACTTAATTAGTTCATCTGGTGTTTTGCTTTCCAATCTAAGTCTGACTTGTTGCTTTTTTGACATAAACTAGTAGAAAGCCATATGGTGAAGTGCATTATGCACTTCTGCTCCCAGGATTTCTGAGAATACAGAAAACTGATTTTTCAACTGATGGTAAGAGATGAGTGGCGATTTCAATTCCTTTCCCTTCTAGCCTTTATAAACAATAATTTATATATACAGCACTTAAATCTACCTTAACATAAAGATTTTTACTTTTCAACTGAAAAAGTTCCTTCTACAAAGACAGTCTCATTTTATTCCTCCCCTAAATGAATACTACATCCTAAACCTTCTGGACAATGTTAATTTCAGTGCAAGTATTTCTTCTAGCCCAAGTTCTGATCTTTCCTGGATATTATATAACCAAAGAATTATAAAATATAAGAAAGGAGAAAATTAAGTGTAGATATCTCAAAAAATGCACAGATATGAAAATGCACATTGGTACAGCCATCTTTTCTGACATCGATCTTGAGATTTTAAGGTACCATCCACGCGTATATTTTTGAGCACTTCCCTGGGCCTTCCTATGCCCTTTCTCTGTGAGCACATCTCTGCTGTCTCTTTTGTGTGTCCAGACTTTCTCTTTACATAATACATCCAGTCAGATTAGATGAAGTCCATCCAAACAGACTCATCTAAAGTTGATTGTCTCTTTAAAGACCCATTCTCTAGGACATATTCTGAGATACAGAAATGGGGAAGGCCTTCAACATATGATTTTGGAGGGAATGGACATACAGGGTAGAATGAGTGAGCATGGAGTGAGCAGGCCTGCCCACCACCATGGCTCCTTCCTTGTGAAATACGCTCCGCAAGCAGGCTCAGTGCCGAGTGAGGTAACATCATGATGAATAGGACAGTCATAAGGCCATGGGTTGTTGGGAGAAATAAAGCAAATCTAATTCTATGAAAGTGTCTTTTTCTCTGTGGAAAATTCTATCCCTTTCATGCTGGGAGATTTCCATGGGGTCACCCTGCAATCCCAGGGCTGAGCAGTCTCCCTGTGGACGAATGCATGGTGGATACTTGATGTTGGAGACAGGTAGTAGTTTCCAAACCTGCTCACAATAGTATTTCCCATTTCACTGATATTCTTTCTTATTTATTCATTTTTAAAATTGTGTGTGTGTGTGTGTGTGTGTGTGTGTGTGTGTAGTATTAGAGACTGAAACTAGGGCCTTCATATTGAGCTACTTCCTCAGCCATTTCTTTATTTATTGTTTATATACTTTTGAGACCGAGTCTCGATAAGTCACTAATTTGCCCAGGCAGGGTTCATACTTGTGACCTTCCTGCCTCAGTCTCCCGGAGCACTGGCCTGTAGGTGTGTACCTCCATACCAAGTTCCACATGCTGTTCTTGCACTGTGACATTGGCACTATGCTCATAAATTGGTGAGGTGTTTGGTCCCCTCCCTGAAGCTTGGGGGGACTTTTATGACTCCATCAAGCAATATGATACAGTAGATGGAAATTTGTTGACTTTCTCAGTGAGATATTTTAAAAACATGTTCGTTTTCCTTGTTTCTGTGGAGGTCTTCATGCATGAAATCTATCTTTCTTGGTCCATACAAAGCTAAACACTGGGGCCATAAGTAGAAGCTAAATCTGGGTTTTTCTGGTCCACAAGTGAGCTGAGCTTCCAACCCAAATCCACAATCACTCACCAGACTGTGAGTCTGTTTCACCTGCTGACTAGTGAGCTGCCATCAGCCTTTGGAGTTTTCTCAGCTGATGCTCTAGACATGGGGGAGCAGAGACATTGCTCCTCACTAGATCCGAATTCCTGGTACACAGAGCCACATGCTTTCTGTGATAGTAGCAGCTAGATGAATCTTGGGGGAGAAAATTTCCATATCATCCAGCCCTGACAATAGCTCTGATGCCTGCAACCATGGCCATTTTATAACCACATCAGTGAATGAGAGTTGAGAAGAGATCAGTGCTGCCATCCACCAAACACAGAGTTTACCTACCATCACAAAATCTCTACAGAGGACAGCCTTGGATGAGTATTTGTATGATGTGAGAATTTTTATATTTTGTCCAAATTGTCTATTCATTTAAATCTTTATCATGCCTTCAAAGACTCAGAACATGCAATGAAACTTTTAGCAATTGCCAAGAATTGGAATATGCGTCTATGTCTTTAGTAATCCCTTTGCTTATACAAAGTATACAAAGATAACAAATACACTGATCAAAGCTGTGTTAACCGAGATTTTCCTCAAACCCCATATTTTTTTCAGGACATTTTTTTGGCCTTTAATGTTATAGCTTTCTATTTTCAAGTGTTCATGTAGAGCTAGATGTAAATCAACATAATTCAAAATTTCCTCTCCAGTCAGCTCCACATGAAGCCACAAGTATTGACTGAGGGATGAGAGTTTGGCAGGAATCTCGTGGACATTTCTTAAACCTATCAGTTCAAATCTCCAAGGTATTGTTTCATCTTGATGATGTAGCACTGCTAGCAACCCCACACTTAATAGACAATGCCAGGACTACAACAGTAAATTCACATTTGGTGCTTCTTGGTTTGCTGCTAGAGATCAATTAGAACTTAGTATCACTTCAGGAGCAATTTCTGCAAAGGGCAATCGTTATCTACAGAAGGATGTAACGCTTTGCTCCAATACTTTGTTTATCACTGCTGTGATTCTCCCATTAAAGGTTTTGCTAATGCTCCATAGTACACACCTACTTGGATTGCACACTACTTGGGTCTTCTGGATTGTAAGACTCGCACAACAAATAGGACTTGTTCACTGTTGGGAGCAATGCTACATAATTCTAGGGATAAATCATTTGGTTAGCCTAGTTCTCTTGCCTACAGCCCAGCTACAGAATAACTCCAGTTTGGCCTCCGGTCACAACTGAGACTTCAGTGATCCAGTGATGCTGTGTTTCTCCAGGACAAGAAACATCCTGGGAGAACAAACATCTGCTCAGTTCCTCATTGTTCTTGGACTGATTAACATCTTGTTTGCCGGAGATGTACTGAACTCTCTGCAAGCCTTCCGTTACACCTTGTTTATCCCAATGTGAACTATTGAACTCTCTGCAAGTCATTTGTTACATTTGTTTCTCCTGATGTACTGAATAAAAGGTGTGGTAAACTGGGGGCTTTGTCTTTGCTGCCCAGAGCAGCACTGATCAGACCCAGAACTCAGCTTGCTTCTTCTCAGTCTCATTTTTCTACCTTTCCTGTAATTCGCCGTGTGCTGCCGTGGCTCGCAGGAGACCAGGACTCACTGCAGAGGTTCTGGTAACGTCACCTTCCCCTGTTCCCTACAGTTCACTTGCTTGCATTCATAGCTGCCGGCTACACACTTACTCAACTTGTCAGAGCATTAAACTCAGGTGCTGTAAATGCTGACTCCTAAGTTTAAAAGACCCTTCAATCAATAAACTTCTTTTGTACTAGACAAAGCATCTTGTCTTTCACTTGGTGAGGCCATCATCTTAAGCCCCAGAAGCCTCGATCCTAGACATCTAAAGGAATTTCTTTCTGTCCAGCTGTTTCATCTGAAATAAACTTAAATGGAAGTCAAGCTAGAATGATTTAGGAGAAAACAGTGTTACTGGCCATGACACATTCACCTTCTTAGGCAAAACCATCAAAAGAAATGAAGGATACTACAGAAATGAAAGTGCCTGCATCTGGCAAGTTGGAATGCAGCCTGATCATTGCACAGCCATCTGAGATGAGCTGCCATGTTGGTTACTTTATATTCATAGGGAAATTATATTCCAAATGCTTTTATTTGCTTATTGTATAGCTTAAAAAGACAACATGAGCAGTGTAATCTTCACTAGGACAGACTATTTTACTTATGCATTTAGGAACTGTAGAAGTAAATATTGGGTGGATGCACACATCCATTGGATTCTTTATAAGATGGGATGGGGCCACTTGAGCGGGAAAGAGGGAACATTTTGGGAAAGAGGCTTTCAAGAGGGTCGGGGATTTAGCTCAGTGGTTCCACTGCCTGCCTCAAAAGCGCAAGGTCCTGAGTTCGATCCCCGGTACCAAAAAAAAAAAAAAGAAAAAGAGGCTTTCAAGAAACTTGGAAAGCACAAGTGATGCTCTATTTTTATGAGTGTGGTTATATAAAGGGATCTATGTTAATGAGTCTTCACATTGTGTACATACATAGTTACTATTTTATTTAAGATACATAAATTAAAATTATAAACAAGTTTTGCATTGAAGAAAAAATATGACATGGACACAGACTTAGTCAATTAGAAAATAAGCTGGAAAATTCCTCCAGAAAACCAGTATAAAATGGTAAAGGGATGATATTTTTTAAAAGATACAATTTACATGGAACAATTAACATGTACATATGAAGAGAATTCTCCAATTTGAGTAACAGTAATCAGATGAGCAATTTGAGAAAATTAACCTGAGTTTTGAAAGGGCATAGTTGAGATGATTTTGGATTCTACGCAGATACCTACTGATTGTCTACTGAATACCAGTGAATATTAATCAGCACAATAGAAAACAGAACCATTTGGAACATGCTATAATGAAATGTAGAAACTTTTAGGCTTGAAATGTGCAAACTGTCCCCAAGGCTGTGGTAGTAAAATGAGGCCGATAAAAATAAATTTTTAGAAAATAGGCATAGTTTTGCAAGGAAACAGATTCAGATGAGTTTATTTTGTGATCACCAGGCAATAATAATTTGTTCGCCCATATAAACAAAGCAAGGACTGACTCTGTCAGGAAGTGTTGGGGAATTTGGGTGTTCATAACTCTCAGATTCCCCACAAATGTCACTGCCACAATCTCAGCATCTTATTTTCTCAGGGCCCTCTTACTGACCTAAGAAGCAGTGGAACTTTGGCAAAAGTAGATAAACAAAATGGCGCACTAGCTCGTTTCAGCACTAGTGCCCCCTTGGAAATATCAGTCTGAATTCCTATCCATGCACAAAAGTTTTCATAAGAGCTAAGGACACAGCATGAGATATCACAGCACTTGGATGTAATGCAAAATAGGAAAGATGAAGTAGGATTTGTTGGCACACCCTGTAATTCCAGCTGCTTGTGAGGCTGAGGCAGTAAGTTAGCAACTTTGAAGCCAACTTGGGTAACTTAGAGAGACCTTGTCTCAGAAAACAGAAAGAAAAAAGAAAAAGAAAAAAAAAGAAAGAAAGAGGCAAAGACAGAAAGAGAAAGGAGGGAGGAAGGGAAGGAAGTAAAGAGGGAAGGAAGGAAAGAAGGGAGAAAGGAAGGAAGGGAGGAAGGAAAAAACAAACAAAATTGGCTATAGCTTAGTATACTGGGCTAGTATTTGTCTATCAGGTGCCAAGACCCTGAGTTCTATACCCAGCTCCACACACACACACACACACAAATTGGCTATAGCTTAGTATACTGGGCTAGTATTTGTCTATCAGGTGCCAAGACCCTGAGTTCTATACCCAGCTCCACACACACACACACACACACACACACACACACACACACGCACACACGCACACACACACACAAAAAAAATTTAAAAAGATTTAAAAAATGCATTGATGAGAATTAGAAAGATGTTTTGCATTATCTGCAAACTCTCCAGACACTAGACTCTGTAGATAGAGAGAGATAACTTCTGTGTAGGCAAAGAGAGGGAAGTAAGCACCAGGCTTTATGCAATTTTGGACCATGAAGGAAGTAACAACAGTATCCAGTGTCCCACCTGGGGTGTATTAAAGGAAAATAAAAGGAATTGATGATTAAATTAAACAACTTGCACTTTATACAGAAGAGGAAAAATAAACAGAAAAGAAGTACAAATGATGAGAAATTAAAGGAATGTATTGGAGTTGAGGTTCATTTTCTTCCTGCCTTCTTTTCTACATGTAATGAATACATAGTGAGCAATGAAGTGTGTAGAATGTTCTGATCTGGAATACTATAATATCAGAGGATCCTGGTCATTGGTATGTGTAATTGTTGGTGTCTAGAACGTCCCTAAAGGCCTTTGTTGAAGAGCTGGTTGCCGGCTAATGGACTTTGGGGAAGTGATTGGATCATTCAGGCTCTAACTTCATCGACGGCTTCATAATTTGATGGGATCACCAGGAGAAAATGGAAACTTACAGAAGCAGTCACTGGGGGCCTGGCTTTGAAGACAATAGCTAGTCCCTGGCACCTTCCTCTCTGCTCTTTCCTTTTCTCTCTGGTGCCTGAACATGGGGGGAATGGCTCTCTTCCACTGTGCTCTTCTACCAGGGTGGCTTTCCTCATCTCAGGTGTGCAGCAATGGAATGAGCTGACCATGGACTCAGATATCTGAAACTGTGAGCCAAAATAAAACTTTCCTCTTTAAATTTTTATTCTCAGGTATTTTTTCAAAGTGACCAAGAGCTGACTAACAAAACCTGGATAAAAATAATGGGGAGACATGAAAATAGGTTGAAAGTATGCGAGGAAGGAAATACAATTATTTCACAGGAGATTTGGTATTGTCTATAAAAAAAATCCTCCAAAGTTTGGAGGGAAAAATTTCAATTCAACCTTGACATTTTGAGTCAAAATATTTGGTTATAAGAAAGAGATAAAAGAGGAGCATATCCCTAGAATAATTCTAACATCAATTTAGACCTGTTAACAAGGTTGCAAGTCTCTATATAGTAAGAAAAATTTACATCTGTTTAAAAATAATCCTTGGTATCAATCAGTTTTTATCAAATTATAAATAATATTTGCTTTTCTTTTGTAAAATATAGACAATAACATGATCACTATGTCCTTGTTATAATCAAGTGCTTAGAGCACTACAGAGTAGACACCAAGTAAATATTGAGTATTATTTTTGTTTCTCTTGTAGGTCAGTGCAAAGCCTCACAGAATAAATCAATAACAATAACTCTGTCTGGAATGTTAATAGCTTTCATTTTTTCTATTACATTTTCAGTATACTTCTGTTTCTTCTTTGTTTTCATTGTATACTAAGTACCTAAACAGTGTAAGAGCATGTGAGGGAAAGCAAAATAAAAGAGAATTTGTACTTGTGACCCACTGAGTACTAGATAATTCAACCTGCAAAATCTAAAATCGAGAATGGAAATGCTCGCATTAAAAGGGAAGGAACAAAAAAAGAGGGGAGGAACTAAGGTTCAAGCAAACTAATTATCTTTGGCAGATGAGGTGGAAAAAGCATTTGCCTAAAATAATGAGTCTAAAAATTCATGCACTGACATAAATTATGAAGGACATAAAGAAGACAAAGCACTGTAATTGCCCACTCCAAGAACTGCCTTGAAAGAATTAAACAGAAATTAAACAGTTGGGCTGTTCAAAATAAGTGCTAGTAACGAGATAAATGCAAGTATTGCAGGGGGAATTAAGGACATAAAAATCTCCATAGTTTGAAATAGCAAAGGAAAGCTTCCTAGAGGTAGAGGGGCATTGGTAGATTTGACATAATTGGAATGAAAAGAACCGCATTTTAAAACTTTATGATAGCATGATAAACTTAATGACTAGAAAGGGACAGATCGCTACTATAATTTACCAGGATGAACTAACTCTGCCGCACCCCCAGAGGCAAGCCTGGCAGCTCTGCCGTGCCATTTTAATATCCTGAAGGGAAGGACTCAGGAAGGAAGGAGCCGGAAGCGCCAACTCCACGGATGACGTAAACTACCTAGCTGTGCAAATAACGCATGGGAAAAACAGCCTGTTACCCCACAATCCTTCAATTATATTTTAAAAACAAAGTTATCAACCAAGATCAGAATTTAATGAGTTACACACACACACACACATACACACACACACACACAGGCACCTTGATACCGTTCTTGAATGTAAAAGCAGGAAACTTAGACTTCAGAGCAGAATTAGATGCTGTGGCACATGAATTAGTTCAGCAAAGTC